AAACTATGTTTTTAATACTTTTTGCCTGAAATCTTTGTTTTAGTCTTTTTGAAAGCTTTAGCAGCTCCTCTTCCTAAAATTAACATGGCAAGAATTTCCAAGTGGTCTGGGGTTGACAGCACTCAGCACCTACAGGAGCAATGCAGACCTCCCTGGTGAGCTCCCTTGCAATAGAGACCTTGGGGAATTTCCACAGAGACAGTTCCAAGAGAAATAAATTGTGGTCATATGCTGAAAACAAATCAGAGAAGAAATGCCAAGAATCAGAGAGGCAGAAACAAGAATTAAGGAAATTAAAATATCATGCCAAGTAGTTCAATGTCTGAGTAATAAAAGATCCAAAAAAGGAGAAAGCAGGATATATGAGAAAAGGGAATGAATGGATGCGGAATTAATTATAAAATAAATGCAACAAAAGCTTCCAGAATTAAATGAGCCTTTCCAGACTAAATAATCGGTTTTAGCTACCACAGTGAAAGAAACAGAATCACACCAAAGACACGTCTTTCTATAATCTTAGACCAAGGGAGAAAACCAGAGAGTCTTAAAGTCTTTCAAAAAGAGAAGAAAAATGGAACAGGAAAGAAAATGGCATCACAATACTGGAAAACATGGCAGTGGATTTTAAAACAACAACAACTTCAGGGGCTAGAGAGATGCTTGATAGGTAAGAGCACTAGTTACTTTTCCAGAGGATTCAACTTTAGTTCCAGCACCCACATGCACATATGTACATGGAAGGGAACACACCTACACATACACATAAAATAAGTATTTTTACCTGGGCAAAATGATTATTAACCAAGAATTCTATAACATCTCAGGTATTACTAAAGGTAAGAGGAAACTGGAGATGAAGTCATATACCTGTGATTTGACCACACAGGAGAGAATGGACAAGATGGTCACTTGATTCTAGAAGGTCAAATCAGTATCAGTATCACCTGCCCTGTCTAGATTAGGAGAAAGTACACTCTATGATAGATGGTCCCCAAGCAAGACACTCATGAAGTATCTGACATGCATATGCATTTGGAAGCTGTTTTGGTTGGTTTTCTATTGCCATGACAAAACACCATGACTAAGGCAACTTATAAAAGAAAGCATCTAATGTGTAGGGGGTTGTAGAATGTTACTTTAACTATGTAAAAATGTGTTACATTGTTTATGTTGCAAATATTACTTTAACTGTATAAAGGTGTGTTTCATTTGTTTATGCTGTATTTGTTTAACTATGTAAAGATGTGTTACATTTGTTCAATTCTGTAAAGATGCTTGCTGTTTTATCTTGCCTGCCTAAGGCACCTGATTGGTCTAATAAAAAAGCCTAACAGTCAATAGCTAGGCAGAGGAGAGATAGACAGGACTAGTAAGCATAGAGAATAAATAGGAGGAGGAATCTAGGTTCCAGAGAAAGAGAAGAGATAATGAGGGAAAAAGAGAGGGAGACTCCAGGGGCCAGTCAGTCGGGCAGCTGCCAGATACAGATACAGATACAGAAGAAGCAGGAAAATTAAGATGTTCAGAATTAAAGGAAGTTAAAAAGCCCAGGGGCAAAACATAGATGAAGAGAAATAGGTTAAATTGAATTGTAAGAGCTAGTGGGCCAAGCATTCATAACTGATAAGTCTCTGTGTCATGATTTGGGAGCTGATTGGTGGCCCCCAAAAAGGCCTGTTACAGAGGGATCACAGTTCCAGAGGATTAAAATGGCAATCATGGCAGGGAACATGGCAACAAGCTACCTAGACCTTACTTAATGTCTGGCCCACATGCATGAAGCAGAGAGAGAGAGAGAGAGAGAGAGAGAGAGAGAGAGAGAGAGAGAGAGACCCACAGTGTGTCACCCACAGTGACACACCTCCTCTAACAAGACCAAACCTTCAAAGAAATCCAAAGAGTTCCACCGACTGGAGACCAAGACTTAGAATATGCAAGCCCATGGGAACCACTCCTATTTAACTCACCAGAGAAACTAACATGAACAGATGTTTCACAGATCTGATAGGGCATAACTTGAGGAGAAATAGTAAGGCTATTTTTTAAGTTTTAACTTTCATTGATGTGTTGTTTTTCTTTATTGTTATTTTATATGTATGAGTGTTTTGCCTGCATTTATGTCTATGTATCATGTAAATGCAGTGCCTGTGGAGGCCAGAAGAGGGCATTGGCTCACCAGACTGGAGTTACAGATTGTGAGCTGCCCTGTGAGTACTAAGAATTAAACCCAGGTCCTCTAGAAGAGCAATTGTTACGAGCAGTTTTCCCCGCTAGCCTGGTTCCACAGCTGCATCAGCCCCAAATAACACATAGAGACGCTGTATAGATATAAAGCTGTTGGCCTGTTACTAGCATTTTTTATGGGCTAGCTCTGTCTTCAATATTAACCCATTTCTATTAATCTAAGTGTTTCCATGTGGTCTTATCTTACGGGAGAGAGGGTCCGGGGACCTCTTATTCCTCTCATGTCCTACATCTTGACTCTCCTACTACACCTCCC